ATGTTGTGTGAGCTGCCGCCGCCGTCCTCATTGAGCCTGGTGCCGTGACTCTGACAACTAGTAGTCGTGGACCTTGATGCAATACCTTGAAGTAGTTGGGGCGAAGGTATTGTTTGTCGTCTTTACTTTCTTCTCAGGGCAAGCCCATGTTGATTAGCAAGGAGCAGCCCAGGTGGTAGTCCTCGTGTCCGCCAGTTACGATATGGCACCCGTGCATGCTGGTCGTTCCTCGGGGCAGCCTAGCCTCCTGCATGACAGCGATGTGGACGTCCATGCGCTTCAGCTGGTGGCGTATGAGCGTATGACCTCGAGTCTCGCCTGCTTTCTGCCTGTGTGGGCCGGTTCCTTTAAGCCGCGCGCGTTCAAAGTCATCTCGTTGAGGGAGATGGTCACCTCCTTGCTGGTTTGCTCTTGTCTTGGTTCGAAATTCTCGGTCGTCGCCATGGCCGTCGGCGGTGTAGCTGTCATGCCGTTGTCGCTCAAGTTTGGGTATGCCGCCCGAGTTTTGTCTTCCGTTTGGAGTAGCCTTTCCCGACTGCGTTGATGCGTCGAATTTCTTTCCAGTGTGGTTGTGGACATACCTCTTCATGTTCGTTTTTGTTTTTTGCCCACGGAGTCGGCGAGCTCGTTCCATGGGTGCTTTTTGTGAGCGTAGACGTCCGTATATAGACGTGTCGCACTCGACGCTAGCTGGTGGAGCTGGTTAATCAGTGTGGCCATGTCGTGATTGCTATGAGGGATGTAGTTGTCCTTATCCAGTCCAATGGCCAGCTTAGAGTTCGTATGCACGGTTTTGGGAACATTGTTATAGATGGATGTTTGGTTCTACATCCATCCGAATGCCCACATAAGCGTTGTCAGTTCCGATGTGGTTGATGTCGACTTCTCAACGTCAGTTGATGTGGAGCTGTGCACTCTGACTGCCATCGTGCCGATGTGCGCGAGGCCGTCCTCGTCCTCTATGGTGATGACGACCTCCCATGCGTCTTTGGTTGATTTGGTCTGGTGTGTGCCGTCGATGTAATGGTTCCATGCGTCCTTGGAGGGCCGAGTTCCACTGCCATAGTGGCTGATGGGAGGAACCTCTCTGGTTCGTCCAGGTCTGGGAAGGTGGATGCAATTTTGGGCGGGGAGGTGCGCCTGAGCACGTAAGCGATCGGCTCGGTCATTGTAAATGTGGGACGAACCGCTTCTCTCGCTTGGCGTCTCTCTCTGTGGTCTCCCGATGCCGCTACCGGATTCCCTTCGGGCATCATCCGTTAAAGTTGGAACGATACAGAGAATATTAGCATACCAAAAAATCTCCCGATGCCGCTACCTCTCGCACGGAGCAGGCTTTGGTGTCAGTCGTCCGTGGTGCCAGGTGGGCGTGCATTAGCATTTCCACAGCACCAGCTTGTGATATGCTGTCCCTGCCGTTGTGGGGGCCATCTTCCATACCTGGTCGGGGTGGGTCGGGCGTTCGTCGAGTAGGGAGTCGGTCACCCACGCCTTCCTCCAATCCTCGATTACGAGGTCGAAGTCGCGTGCCATCCGTAGCCCCGTGCTGGTGTGGTGGTGTTCTGTGGCTCCGTCGAATACGGCAGTGGTGGTGTCCGTCGTTTGTACACTACGTCGTCCTTTCTACCATTGCCCTGAATGTTGGAGCTGCTCGTTTTGTTGGTCCGTCGGAAAGGTGCCGGTGCAGGTCCTCTCGTTTTATCGGGGCTGCGAGGCGTGCCCATCTTGATAATCCTCTCCAGTGGTGAAACCGGTCTGGGTCAAGCCGGTCTGGGTCCAGCCGATCCTCGGTCAAGCTTGCATATAGGTGTTCCAGAGTCACCGTTCGCGGCGTGGACTGGTCCTTGTCCATCGCCGCATCGACACCGCCAGATCGAATCCCGAGTCACCACCTGCGTCGGCCACGTCGTCATTGGTGGCTAGGTCGGTTGGAGTGCTGGCGTCAGGTGTGCGTGGAACACTGACATGTGGCTCGCTTGGGTCGATCGTCGCCCTTATCGTATTCTGCGCGCTTGAGCCTCTCGTGGGGGGGATGCTTGCTTGCGGGCTGGTGGTATAGATGAGCGCTTGCCTCATGTACCAATGAAGTATCGTTGCGGGCTGATTGCCTGTGGCGTCATCTGTTCGGTTGGTGTAATGCCGTCGCTCCTTTTCGTAATTTGTGACGGAGTGTCGATCGCGATGATCTCCAGCGTAGGTGGGTCAGATTGAGCCGGAGGTATGCTGTTGCCCGTTTCAGCTAGTGGCGTAGGGCATTCATGCTCGTCTGTGGGGGCGTGTGTTGGATGTGGTGTTCTTGGCGCTCTTGTGTTGAACTCGTCGGGGGCTTGATCGTCTTGTAGGACTGGCTGGATGAGAAGGCCGCGATGGCCGCGTGTATGTCGTTCTCCCTGGTGATGTCGTCAGGCTGCGATTGCGTCGGTTGGGTGCTTCCATCCTCCAGTGGCTGTCGAGGCATAAGCTGCACCGGTGGTAGGAACTGAGACGAGTCGTCGTCGTCGGTAGCGATGGCCGTGTCGAGGGCCTGCTGGAGGGCGTCCACCATCTCCACGTTGCTCGGGCACTCTGGTGCCTCTTTGCAATCCTGTCGGGCTTGACGGCGCTCCTCGTTTGCCTCCTCAGGGCGCATCTCGTGGGTGTTCTTCATGTTCCTCCACTGGCTCTCCTCTTGGCAGTACGTAGGTGTCTACTTCTCGTCGTAATACATTGTGCTGCTTTGCCGTTCCCATCTCCGTGCTCTGTTCCATGAGTTGCACCCGTCAGCCTGTATCAAGTTGTAGTGTGCTTGCTGCTCGTATGGGGTCATGTGATATTGTTCCTGTCGTTGCGTCTGTTCGGCATCCCTGATCTCGACAAGGCGCTCCATGTTGGTCGCTGGTTGCTGGTACTCTTCGTGTGAGTGGTGGATGGTAGCTTCCATGTGCATCTCCTGTTGTTGCAGCATTTAATGCGCATGTGGACTCTTACTCTCCGAGCCGCCCCACTTGTTGTACAGCAGGATGTGGTCATTGCGGTCCTTGATGTGGGTCTCTGCCGATTTGGCCTCGATGTGGGCTATCTGCTGCTCGGCCTCCATGGTCATGTTGTGGTACGTGTTGCCTTCTCCATGCTGTCGCGTGCGCTGTTGCTGTCGGGGAGCCTCTTCTGTGTCTTCTGGAGCTCTTTGTTAAACCTCTCCGTAGAAGTTGTGCGCTGGTGTGGACGTTGTTGTTGGCTTTCTTGTTAGCCTCCTCCAGCTCCTCCTCAGTCCTCTCGAGCGCCGCGTCCGTCCGCATTTGCATATACTCGTGGTGTGATGCCATATTCTCGGTTGTCTGCTCGGCGCTCTTGATCTCGATCGAAAGCTCGTTGTGCTATTGCTCTGCCCTGGTTGCTTGTGCGTGTTGGTCCCGTTGATGTTGTTGAGCTTCTTCTTTTGCTTCGTTTGCCCTTCGGAGGTGGTTCTTCAGGTCTTGGATCTCGTTGTTGGCTTCGGTCCTGTTTTTGTTGACGTCGCAGGCCATGCGCTGGTTGTCCTCCTTGAGGTTTCTGAGCAAGGTGCCAACGTCTTGACCCTCTGTTGTTTCCCCCTGTCCTTGTTTGTCTTCTTGGCGCTGGTCTTGGGATCCTTTTTGAGTGGACCTCACGGTTGGGTCCGTCGGTTTCGTCGTCGGTTGTTTCGTTGTCGTTGTAACGGTCGTCCTTGGCGTTGTTGATGTTCCGTTTGCGTAGCTCCTCGATCAGTTTCTCGAATTCGTTCATGTAGGTTTATATTTGGTATCGGTGGGCCCCCGTGTGCTCGTAGTAGGCCTTCATGGTCTTCTTCGTTGTCTCGATCTCCCTAAGCTGTTGCGCCAAGGACATATTGTTGAGGATCATCGTCTTGGTGATGGCGATCTGTGCCACTGCGTCTGTAGTCGGTAGTCTTGCTGCACCGTTTTTTGCAATGGCTGCTTTGGCCCTCCTCAACTCGTTGCGTTTGAGCGTCTTCCAATTGTCTTTCAGCGTGGGGTCGTTGGGTGGTAGCTCCCAGTCGTGCCTCCTGGTGGTGTAGATCCTCATCGGTATGGCATTGCTGATGGTGTTGGTGATGTGGTCGTTGTAGTTCTGGGTATCGTCCTTCTTGTTCTGCTTCGCACTGTTGAATTGCTGCTTTGACTTGCCATTGCCCTTCTTGGGCTTGTCTTTGCCTTTTGAGGTTGAGTTTGCGGTCTCAACGTCGTCCTTGACGGCCTTTCCCTTGCCATTGTGGTTGTTGCCCTTGCTGTTGTGGCCGCTGCTATTGCAGTTATAGTTGTGGCCCAAGTTCTTGTCTGGGTGCTCCCATTGGTCCGCCTAGTAATAGTTTTCCCAGCGTGCGAGACCCGCACCGATAGCCAGTGTGGTGGATCTCGGCGTAGGTCTGTCTGCTTCGTGGGCGGCTCGATGCTGACCTCCACGGTGGCATCGCTGTTCCCGATCCTCTCGCGGTTACATTTCATGACGTCGCCATGGTTGAAATTTGACGTGGATGTCGAGGTGGTTGTTGTGCGCTGTGGTCCGCAGCAAGTATCTGGCGTGCTGCGTGGAGCTGGTGCTGGATGTCGTGTTCAAGTAGTTCACGTGCAGCGTCGACGCGTAGGAGGACGCGTGCTTGAGCTCTTTGTTCACGAAGCCGTCGATGCCACACTGAATTGGTTGAGGTCGCAGCCATGGTGCCTTCACCTAGCAGGTGAACTGAAGATATTCCCGAAACGAGATGTAAGAGTACGGGTTACAAGGAATGTAAAAGGTGTGAAGGATGTAGTGAATGTAGATCGCATGTGGGAAAACAAGTTTCGGTCGAGGCTGACCCCTAGGGCTGGCGCGCTGCCACGTCTTCTGGGCAACGTGGCTCGCCTCCATCTCTTCCTCCTCCTCTCTCCTCTCCTGGTGATCGGGAGGGCGGTAATGGGGAGTGACCTACGCCAGGGAGCGCAGAGAAGGGCCCCTTTCATGGGCTCTTCAGGAGCCGGCGTTCTTCGGGGGCTGCACCCCCGCAGGGGCCGCCCGCGGCGGCAGACTCGGCGACGCCCGCGCCGCCGCGGCGGCCGGGCTCCTGGGAAGGGCTCGGGGCCTACGCGGCCGACCAGCGAGGCGCCGTCGCCGCCGGCCACGCGCTCGGGCGCAGGCGCTGTTCGAGGAGGAGGAAGAGGAGGGGGAAGGGGAGGAGAAGAAGAAGGAGGAGGAGGAGGGGGAGGAGGAGGAGGAGGAGGAGGAGGAGGAGGAGGAAGAGGAGGAGGAGAGGAGGAGGAGGAGGAGGAGGAGGGGGAGGAGGAGGAGGGGAGGAGGGGGAGGAGGAGGGACACCGTGCAGAATACTTGAAGTCTTGCTGTCTAGCTACCCTTGTCTCCGACCCAGGACACAGGGAACTGACACGACAACAATTGGAGGAGGAGGAGGAGGAGGAAGAGGGACCGACGACCACGACCACGACCTCGTTCACGACGACGACGACGACGACGACGACGACGACGACGACAACGATGACGACGACGATGACCACGACGACGACGACGACGACGACGACGGCGGCGGCGGCGGCGGCGACGATGACGACGACGACGACGACGACGACGACGACGACGACGACGACGACGACGGGGAGGAGGAAGACGAGGACGAGAACGAGGACAAGGAGGACCAGGAGGAGAGGAGGAGGAGGAGGAGGAGGACCTCGGCTGGTTCGAACTGGGGGCCGTTCAGAGGGGGCCTGCGCGGGCCAGATCCCCTGATCTCCGACGATGTGTTATTTCAACTCTCTTCCCATGTTTTTGTTCCTCGGAGCCCGTGGTCAGGCCCTGAGAACATCAAAACGGGCCCGGGACGCAAAATAACCCCCAGGCAGAAGCGAGGGCGTTGAGGCTTCAGGGCTGCGGACTGAGCAAAGCCACGTCGCCGGATGTCAGGTGGCATGCCACCCAGCTGGGGCCCGAGCAGACGGGGTCGGAGGATCGGCCCAGATCGCCGATGCATCGGGGGTCCGGTCTGGCGCGGTGCGGGGCCCGACTTCCTCCACCCGGACGTCGCCGACGCATCGCTGGTGCATCGGTGATGCAGTGCGATCCCCGACGGCCCCCTCTGCTCCGGCCCCATCTGGGTGGCTTGCAGAGGTGAGTCGGGGGCCCCCAAACGGTGCGGTGGCCAATACCTTGCGGTGAGTCAGTGGGGGTTCGGGGTGGCCGCACGGATGGTCTCCAGGGATGTCTCGAGCGATTGTTGAGGCCTCCGAGGATCCAAAACCGCGCGGCGACGGACAGTGCGGTGATGGTTTCTGGGGGGTTTCGAGATCCCCGCACGGTTTGTCACCGCACCCTCGTGGGTTCCCCGTGGGGGGGGGGCGGCGGTGGCGGGCGCCAGGGGGAATGCCCGCTCGAGCCCACCTGGTCCCCTCGGTCCTGCTGCAAAGCCAGTATATACACATACATACACATAGATCCCTATTCATATATTTTATAAGGCAGGGGACCCCGGACCCCCACACACACACACACACACACACACACACACACACACACACACACACACACACACACACACACCTAACGAATTTGGCCCACCCCGGGCCTCTCGGGCAACCCTCCAGACGACCCAGGAGAACCCCACGAGAGCCCGAAGGCGGCCCCAGCGGGCTCCAGGGGTTCCGGCGCACTCCCGAACCTCAGAGAGCCCGAAGACAATCCACGACGATCCCAAAGAAGATGTCGGCCCAAGAGGGCCCCAAGACTGCCCCAGAGAGCCCCGAGACTGCCCAAAAGAAGCCCGAGACCTCGAAAGCAATGGGAGACCCCCAAGAAGGCCATTGAAGGCCCCCAAGAGTGCCCTAGATGGCTTCAGAGGCTTCTGGAGGGCCCCAGCTCCCCAAGACGGCCCAAGAAGGCCCCAGGACGGCCCAAGAGGGCCCCAGAACGGCCCAAAAGAATGCCAAAAACGCCCAGACGGCGCTCTCCTAATTACGAAGTGCGTCGAAAAGCCCATGTGTTCAGAGCCACTGCGACTTCTTCGGCGTGTCATGGGAACGCTCTTTCTCCCCGTTTCTCTCTCCCTCCTCCCCCCTTCCGCCTGTTCAGCCCCCCTCATCCATGCTCCCTTCCCGTTCCACGTTCACGGACAGGTGCCATCGCAACAGTTTGATGCTTCGTCGTTTGCCCGCACCTTCGCGCGCGAAAAAATCAGCATTCCTTCCCCACTCCTACGCACAAGCGTGCAAGCGCATCGGGCGAACGCGGTGTTAGCAGGCACCAGGGATATCAGAAAAGTGAGCCGGTCGCGATGGCGCCTGTCCATGAACGGGGAACGGGAGGGGAGCAGGGATGAAGGGGGGTGGCTGCAGAGGCGGAGAAAGAGAGAGAGAGAGAGAGGCACGGGAAAAACAGGCGAGCTGGCGTGAGCGCAGCGAGCGCACGGAGAGCGCCGTCTGGGCGTTTGGGGGGGGCGTTTCTGGGCCGTCCTGGGGCCCTCTTGGGCCGTCCCGGGGCCTTCTTGGGCCGTCTCGGGGAGTTGGGGCCCTCCAGCGGTCTTATGAAGCCATCTAGGGCCTTCTTCGCGCCCTCAATGGCCTTTTTGGGGGTCTCCTATTGCTTCCGTGGGTCTCTCTTGGGAGCCTTTGGGGGAGTCTTGGGTTTCTTGTGGGCAGTCTGGGGGCTCTCTGGGGCAGTCTTGGGGCTCTCTTGGACCGTTTTAAACCCCCTGGGGGCTTCTTGGGCCGTTTGGGGGCGATATCGGGGGCCCATCGGGCCGTCTTGGGCGCTGCCAAGGCCCAAAAATTGGATCTTGGGGCATCTTGGGCATCTCGTGGGCCGTTTTTCGGACCATCGAGGTTCCATTTGGAGCGTTTTTGTGCTGTTTTGTGTCTTTATTGTGCCTTTTCCGATGACCCTTCTGATCGCCCTGAAGCTGCTCGCAAGGCCCGGCAAGGCGCCCTGGGAGGCCCGGAAAGGCCAGCTGACCTTTTCCAAGGGCGTTCCGGGGGCCGCCGAGACGCCCGAAAGGACGTCTGGGGCGTCCATGGGGGGGGTCCGGTTTAGGGGGGGTCTGGGTAATAATACAGGGTGTGTATATATATATATGTGTGTGTATGTGTATATACATATACATATACATATACATATACATATGTATGTATATATATATATATATATGTATGTATATGTATATGTATATGTAGATGTAGATGTATATGTATATGTATATGTATACACATACATATACACATGCATGTACGTATATCTATGCATAAACATATACCTATACACATACATATCCATATACTTATACATATACATATGCATATACGTATACATGTACATGTACACGTACATTTACATTTACATATACATATACACATACATATACATGTACATATATATATATATATATATGTATATATACATATACATATAGGTGTATATACATACATATGAGTGTGTATATCTATACATATATAAATATACACATATAGATATGTGTGTCTATGTATATATATATATATATATATACATAGACATATATCTCGGAGTAGGCCAGGGGGGGCCGGCCGGTGCTGCACCCCCCATGGGGGGGTCCCAGGGTTCCCGGGACCGCCCGGACCCGCTTCCAAACACGCCACGACACGCCAAGAGGGCCCTAAATATTGCCAATGCAGCCCCAAGAGGCCCTGGACACGCCGAATGTGGCTTCAGGACGGCCGACGGCGCCGCCAAAACGCCCCAAGAGCGCCTCCACAGGCCCTTCCAAAGGGCCCCAGAAGCCGAACATCATTCAGTTTCCGATAGCTTTTGAAACAAATTTACGCTCTCGCATGTTCCGCCTCCCCGCGGTCCCGGACGGCGTCAGAGGCTCTTCAGATCGCTCCAAGACGGCCGAAAAGACCCCCACGAAAGCCCAGAGACGACCCAGGAGGCTCCCCAGATAATTCAAGATGGCCTCGAGAGCGCCCCAAGAGAGCCCCCAGAGCACCCCAAGAGGGCCCGAAGAGCGCGACATTTCAAGGCCTCCGGCCTGAGAGGCTCCTAGGACGCCCCCGGAGGCCATCAAGAGGCTCCCAAGAAGCTCCGCGAAGCTCCCAAAGAGTCCCGAGGGAAGCCTTCTGCGGCCCCCCAAGACACCTCGGTAAATCGCAGTTCCCAGGCAGCTTTCCGGGAACATGATTTCTTGGGCTTCCACCCACCGCCCCAACCATGTTTCCTCCAATAGGCTTCCGGACAAGGCCAAAAGTGGCCCCTCGGTAAGCCCCCAGAGGCCCCCCTCTTGAGAGAGCTGAACAAATCATGCTCCCAGAAAGCGTCCCGGGAACATGATTCGGAGTAGGCCGGGGGGGGGCGGGCTGCTGGCTGTTCCCAGCCGGCGAGGACTCCAACACGCTCCAGGACGGACCCAAGAGGCTCCCCAAGAGGGCCCTGGGATGCAAGATTCGTTTATTTTCCGATGGTGTTTGAAGGTTGTTGGTTGGCGTTCTCGCTTTCCCCGCTTCCCAGCGCTACCTCACGGCCTCGCTCGGAGGCCCTTCAGATCGCTTCAAGACGGCCCACGAGACCCCGAAGAGGGCCCCAAGGCGGCCCAGGAGGCTCCCCGGACAACCCAAGTGTGCCCCAAGAGCTCCCCAAGAGGGTGCCCAGAGGGCGACCGCCAACCGATATTTCCAGGTTTCTGGCCCTACAGGCCGCCAGCAGGCCCCCGGAGGCCACCACGAGACTCCCACGAAGCCCCGTGAGGCGCCCCAGAGGCCCCCAGGAAGCACCAAGAGATCCTTAAGGGGCTCCCAGGGAACACCCAAGAGGCCCCCCAACACACCCCAACAAACCATGTCCCCAGACAGCCTTCCGGGGACATGGTTCATCGTGGGCCCGCGAGTCTCCAGAGGCTTCGAAGTACCATCATACTGCAGGAGAGCTGTCTGGGAAGTTGACTGGGAACATGACTGATCGCCTTCTCGCGGCCCTCCGCAGGTCGTTTCGCACAAAGTTGCCCCAAGTGCCCTCCTAAACTGACGACGACGGCGACGAAACGACGACGACGAGGACGACGACGACGACGACGACGACGACGACGACGACGACGACGACGACGACGACGAGGACGAGGACGAGGACGACGACGACGACGACGACGACGACGACGACGACGACGACGACGACGACGACGACGACAGCGCGCCCCAAGAGGCGACGACGACATTACGACGACGACGACGACGACGACGACGACGACGACGACGACGACGACGACGACGACGACGACGACGACGACGACGACGACGGCACGCCCCAACAGGCTCCCCAAGACGCCCCCCGAACCCATGCTCCCAGAAGGCCTTCTGGGAACCCGATTCATCCGGCCTCCGCCCCCCTACGCAACCATTTTCCCCGAAAGCCTTTCGGAATGCGGATTGGCATGCGTGGACTTGTGGTCCACTAGTTCAGTGGAGCAGTGAATTCGTCAAGGCATGGGGCCTACTAGAACCTGAGCGCGCGCGAAGCGCGCGATGGTTCTAGTCTATATATACACATATATATATAAGAGTATGCCACCAGTCTGAGCCAGGCTAAACAGCGTTGAGCGATTGCTTCGTGGCAGTGCCATGTTGCGGGCGTTCGGGGCTGGGGGCCACCGCCGGCCTGAGCCAGACTGGTCAATTTTGAACGAGTGCCGCTGTCCGCTGGTGCGGACCGCTCAAGATTGAAAGATCTTCGTGGTGCCTTACATAGAGAAAATATCGCATGAACAGTAACATTCAGAGGTCCTGGCGGATCTCTTGGGTCTGCGCTGGACCCTCCTGTCGGCGCCTCCGGCGCCAACCCTGGCACGCTCCGCGCGACAGGGAGCGCGGCCCAGTGCCGATGCAAGAAATCCGCGCCGATCTCCGAATCGTTATGGTTACGCCGCCTGCCTCTTCTTAATGTGCAGATGCCAGCGCCCGCGCCGACACGACGGGCAGCAGCCGTACCCCCTTGGGGCCAGCTGCTCCTGCGTTCTCAGTCGGCCGGCAGGCCAGAGATCGACGAGCGCTACAGGCGCTACTTTCGCTGGGCCGCGGAGCGTGGCCAAGCAGGCTGGCAGTACTTGGTGCAGACCGCCCAGTGGCGGTGCGAGCACGGCGGGCCCTGGGTGGCGCTGGAGCCGAACATCGTGCCGTATGACCTCGAGCCAGGCGTGGAGCATTGGAACTTGTGGTGCCTCTCCGTAGTCTCCGGAAAATCTTAGAGGGCCAGGCACAGGCGCACGCCCAGGCCCAAGGGCCCAAGGCCCAAGGCCCAAGGGCACAAGGCCCAAGGCCCAAGGCCCAAGGCCCAAGACCCAAGGCCCAAGGGTCCAAGGCCCAAGCCCAGGCGCTGGCCCAGATACAGGCGCAAGCCCAGGCCCAAGCCCAGGACTGAGCCCAGGCCCGAGCACGAACACGAGCCCGAGGCCCCCTCCCCCAGGGCCTCCGGAGGCCCGCAAAGGGCATCGATCGTCGAGCTCCGTCAGGTCTCTGTGCTCCCACCTGCAGGGAAGCTTGAGAAGAGGTGGGGGGCCAGCCCTTCCACTCTTTCCAGCCCTGGCCGGTTCCCCTCTACAGTCGTTCCAACCTTAGCGGCCCCATCTCAGGTGCTTCGGGCTCGGTTCGGCCCCCGCCAGTTTTTCCAGTCCTGGCCACGTCCACTTTTCCCGAACAGTGCTTGCACTTAGGGTTCTTCTTTCTCTCCTGAGGAACTAGGCCTGCGAGGCGCTCTGGCCGCCAGGTGGCCGCCGTCGCCGCCTCGTCGCCGCCCGCCGCCTCGTCGTTGACCGTTTTGCATTACTTCGCGTTGCGTTGTTTTGCTTTGTTTTGCTTTGTTTTGCTTTGCTTTGCATTGTTCGGCATTGCTTGGCATTGCCTTGCATTGCTCTGCATTGCTTCGCATTGATTCGCCTTGCTTTGCATTGCTTTGCTTTGCATTGCTGTGCATTGCTTTGCACTTTGTTCCTTTGCATTGCCTTGCATTGCTCTACCTTACTCCGCCTTGCGTTGCATTGCGTTGCTTTGCATTGGTTTTATTCTCTTTGATGTGCTTTGCTTCGCACTGATTTTCTCTGCATTGATTCGCAGTGCTTCGCCTTGCTTTGCATTGCTCTGCACTGGTTTGCATGGATTGGCATTGCGTTGCGTTGCTTTGCATTGCATTGCTCTGCATTGTTTTGTACTGTTGGGCATTGATGTGCGTTGCTTGTCGTCGCTTTGCGTTGCGTTGCTTTACGGTGATTTGCACTGTTTTGAATTGCATTGCTTTGCGTTGATTTGCATAGCGTTGCATTGTTTACCATTGCCTTGCATAGCTCTGCATTGCGTTGCGATGCCTTGCGTTGCGTTGTGCTACATCCATTGCGCCACATTGATTGCACCACCTAGACTGCGCCGCATACACTGCAATACATCATCGTTTGGGATCCACGCTGGCTGTCATGCTGGACTTGCAACTTCCATTGTGTTTCAGCTTCCCTCCTCGAGGTACCACCCGGCGACCACGCCTGGCTCCGCGGAATTGGATATGGGCGTTGTCTTGCGACACGTGCGGCTCTTCCTGCCCGCCTTGGAGGACGGTGAGGTTGGAGGGAAAGAATGCGATTACCATGACAAAGACTGAGTGCAGAAACGTCGCTGTCGACATTGCTCAGCGTCCATCTTGGTCATCGTCAATTCTTGGGCCATCCTCGCCATGTGCGACGGCCAGCATGGACCATGACCAAGATGGGTGTCGACAAGATCCTGCGACACCTTTGTCATGCTCATCGTGCGTCTGCCCTCGAGAGGTGGTGCTCTTTCAGAACATCCCCGAGTTCCGCTCTGTGCCAGAGGTCGGCGGAGCCCAGTCCATGAAACAAGGAATTTGATGGAGAAAGACACCGATAGCGCTGCCCGTCCTGTAGAGTCCCCGTCACCGCGGTCGGATGTTCCTCGAAATGTTGGTCAGCGCGAGCCCCGGAAGAGGTCAGGGGAGTCGCGGTATAGGTATTTGCGGGTCCCCCAAGGAAGGAAGTCTCGAGCCGACTGAAACGGGGCCTCCCACAAAAGTTAGGTGGCTGTTACCCAGAAGTCAGATAATCTGCCTTGTTTCGGGCGCCCAGCTTTGCAGCTGGATGTCACGCACACTGTGGGATAAACTTGCATACTCTAATAAGAGAAACCCCACCCCAAAATCCGCTCCAAAAGGCCCCCCAGACCAGACCCCTCCGAGGGTCCGCACTGGCCAATGTTCCGCGCCGCGTGAGGCCGTGGCTACTAGAACCAGGGTCCATGTCGATCCGATGCATTTTAATCCACATCAATTCCAGTTGGCTCGATCCGATTCGATTGCGGAGGCCTTGCGGCCGGTGCCGCCGACCTTGAAGAGAGACGACGGCGACGACGACGACGACGACGACGACGACGACGACGACGGCGGCGGCGGCGGCGGCGGCGACGACGACGCTGACGTGAGCAAAAACCCTCAAGGATGCTTCTTGGGGTCTCTTCGGACGGCTCTCGGGGGCCTCCGGGGAGGAATTGCGGGGCCTCTTGGGAGCAGTTTGGTGGCCTCTTGGGAGCCTCTTAGGGGCCTCAGGCCTCTTGGGGCCTCTTGGGAGCCTCTCGGGGCCTCCCGGGGGGCCTCGAAATGTCCGCTCGGGTCTCCCGTCATGGCGCCCCGCTCGAGCCGTCTTGGGGAGCCTCTCGGGCCGTCTTGGGAGCGTTTCGGGGCTGTCTTGGGGTCCTCTTGGGCTGTTTTGGGGGCCCTCTTGAAGGCCTCTTGGGCCGTATTGGGGCGATTTTTGGGGGCCTCTTGCGCCGTAGTTGGAGCGTCGGGAAGTGGAAACGGCGAGAACGCCCAAATCTCAAAAAAAAAAACAAGCCATTGGAAACTCAATGAATTTGGCCTCTTGGGGCCTTCTCGGGAGTGCTCTTGGAGGCTTCTGGGGGCGTCCTGGAGGCCTCCTGGGCAGTCTGGAGGGCTTGAAGGGGTGTTGAACCGATCGTTTGGCGATTGGGAACCCTCTTGGACCGTCTCAGGGGCCTCTTTGGGCACTCCTGGACTGTCTTGGTACTTTCTGAAGCCCCGGGACCCCCAGGGGGAGATGCGCATCTGGACTGGGACCCCTCCCCCACGACCCATTTTCCGCCCCCCCCCCCCGGCGGGGGAGGGATCAAAGGGAAGGGGCTTCCCTTGGACTTGATTACGACATTACTAGATCTGTTCCTCGCCGACAAGCTTGAGGAGGAGGAGGAGGGGAGGGTGCAGGGAAAGGGGACGACGGAGACGACGGCTGACGGAGACGACGACTCGAACAGACAAGCCCCTAACACACGCCCACAGGGTCGGCGGATGTCACTTTTCTTCGATCCGACGCGGCCCGACGCTTACATGGTGTTGCTGTGCATCCTGGCGCAGCCGATCCGATTCGATCTCGAGCGAATCGGTGCCACCTCAGCCCAGTATGGCCCACACGTCGATTCGCTCCGATTTCTCGAGTCGATGCCGACTGATCCTGCGAGAACCTGCACAAACGCCCAAGCCCTTTCCGGACGACGTCTGCGCCTCCGGAGGTCGCGCACGCCCACGTGTTCGTGCGCCCACGCGGGAGCTCGACCGCGGAGGACCTGCGCAGGGCTGCCCGTGCGTGGCACCGCCACCGCCCCGTGGCCAGAGCCACCTCGGGGGCCCCGTGGTCTCTCTCGGACCCGGACGACGCACAAAAAACTCGCCACGGCCAGGTTTCAGTCGGGCCTGTCCCTCTACTGGGGGAATATTCAAAAATAGTAAAGAAATAGTCTGGGGACGTTTCTTTTTTATAACATGTTTGAATATTTTGTGCGTACGGTTTGTTTTTTCTTGTTTTTGATTTTACTATATATATAGATATAGAACACAACTAAATACATGATATACAAAAACATCAAAATCCGCCTGTAGGGGGACACGCCCGACCTAAGGCTAGGTTTTGAACTCTTCCGGGCTCTGCCAGCGGTTTCCCTGCCCCGGGAACGTCGGAAAACGGCGCGGGGCTTTTTCGCCACGAGACATGTGCGACGTCTGAGGAGAGAGTTTGTAGAGGCCCCCTTGGCCTCGATCAGGAGGCTTGTGCACCATCCTGGGGCCCAAGCGCCCTGGCCAAGGGGCGGTGGGCGGGCATGGACATATCGCCTCTGGGAACGGCATCTACACGTCAGAGTGGCTTTTCGCTGGAGTGACGTCTGGCGCGCCGCGCCTTCTAGACCGCGGGGGGTACAGGGGGGGTCAGCCACGCGCAGAGTGGTGTAGGGGGGAGGCGAGATGGCTTCTCAGAAGCACCCTGCCTCTTGGAAGGCGCGGGCCTCCTCTATAGATTCAAGGCCGGCGCCTTCTAAGAAGCAGCCTCCTTCACCCCTCCCTCCCCCGCCCTCGTGTGCGCCAGTAGTTGGCGCTCGCGCAAATCGACCGGGCTCGCCCGAATTTGTTTCGCAGGTATTCCTTGGAACCTCGTGCAAATCAAATTCCGACCCTCCATCCCTCCAAACTCCGCCGCAGGCGCCCGGAAGAATAACAACTCCAAATGGGGCGCGGCGCCCAGGACCCCCCCTCTCCGGGCCCAGACCCCCGACGTCATGATTTTTTCATGACGTCGACCCCCCGAGGTCTCGACCCATTCCCCGGGACCGGTTTTTCGTCCTGAGTCGTTTTTGGACGGTCCCGAGGGCCGGTAAGGGCCCCCAAAGGCCCAAAATACTGAAAAACCTCCCGTCGTGATTTTTTCACGACGCGAGGGGGTTTGGGGGGGGATGCTGGGGGCCGGGGATGCGCTGCCGACGCGGGGGGGCCCAAGCCCGAGCCAAAGCCCGAGCGTTCGGGCCGCTGCCTCCGCACCGCACCGGCGGCCGTCGGCAGGCCCCGCGCCCCCAGAGGCCACGCCTCGCCCGGGGGCCGCCGCGGGCCTCCGACGCCCCGATCTTCTCACACACTCCTCCTCCCCCTCCTCCTCCATCCTCCTCCTCCCCCTCCTCCTCCTCCTCCTCCTCCCCCTCCTCCTCCTCCTCCTCCTCCTCCTCCTCCTCCTCCTCCTCCTCCATCCTCCTCCTCCATCCTCCTCCTCTGTATCGGAGCCCCGAATCATCAGGGGTAACTCGGGTCAGGGCTAACTCGGGTTCGTTTTTCGGGATTCCGAACCCGAGTTATCCCGGACCCGAGTTACCCCGGATATTTCGGGCGTCCAGGGCCCCGAATCATCAGGGGTAACTCGGGTCAGGGCTAACTCGGGTTCGTTTTTCGGGAACCCAAACCCGAGTTACCCCGGACCCGAGTTACCCCGGATAACTCGGGCGTCCAATTGTACAGCGTGGGCCCCCGAAGGTCTGGACCACTGCCCTGGGAGCGGCTCTCAGGCAGTGGCGAAGCGTCCTGGCTCGCCCACAGGCCTAGCAGAGAATGTTCTGAGAGTCTTTTTGTGGCTTCCACGAGATGTTCTTAGAACATGTCTGGCTGGGGCTCTCTTGCTTTAACACATCGGTTTTATGTTCCGAGAACATTGTTTTGCTATTAGAACAGTTTTGGGTTCCGAGAACATGTCGTGGTAGACCTATAGAAATGCCGGGACGGTCGGTCTCTGCTCAACCTGGGAGCGTCTTCTCATCCAGAGACGTGTTTGACCACCTTCCCAAAAGGTATTGGGCTACGTCCCCTGGAGGTAGATGGACCGCTCTCCCTGGAGGCATGTCCGCTCCCCCATCCCCCAGAGGTAGGTCCCATGTCCCCCAGAGGCATATTAGGGACCACAGGAGCGTTTTTTTCCCCAGAGTCTTTGTTTGGACCGTCTTGGGAAGGGTATGGCCCTCCGGAAGCCCACAATGACGAAAAGCCCTTATGTTGGATTCTTTCACGGCGCCGAGGGGGGGGTTGGCCACTTCCCTTGTCGGGCGTTTCGTGATGGGGAGGGGCGGACAAGTGGGGGGGGGGGATCGAGGGCTGCAGAGAAGGGGCCCGAAAGGCCCCCCCTGGGGATCCGCAGGTGCGTGAAAGGTGCACCTTTCTTCACCCCCCACGTACAGTGCCGTTTTTTATACATGCTCCGCGTGCGGATCATGTATCAAAAAATGCAGGGAGTTAGTATAAAAACTTCGATGAGTTCATGCACAAATTTATTCATAAATGCATCATGTATTAAAATCCCATGTATTAAAAACTGCCCTGTATGGTCCCCCCGTCAAGCAACGCCTGACCCGGACGGGCTCTTCATCCTGAGCCGCGTTTTGATAGCTCAGCGGCCTGGTGAGGGCCCCCAGGCGCCAAAAGTTGCCGAGCGTGTTCCGTCGCAGCGCCTTGACAACACTTGGCGTGCGCGTCATAATTCGCTTTTCGGGCGGCCGTTCGAGGGCTGCATCCCGAGGCTGGAAAGCGTGATTCTGACTGGCGACGAGGACAGGTAGGACCCTCCAGGGGCCCTCCGCGACAGACGCACCGACCCACAATCGACCATCGATCGCCGATATGGGGCCAAGTGGCCCGCCCCGCTCAGGAACGTGCGGATTCGCCATCGGCCATGCATCGCCGATGCCAGTTCGAGGCTTCCCCCCTGAGCTTGCCCGTCGTGATTTTTGGTGGGCGGCGCGAGGAGCGGGACCCGGACATCGGATGTCTTGTCGGGTCCATGGCGAGGTCCCCGGCAGTTCCGGAACGTTCCCCAGTCGGGAGCCTTGAGGCGGAGGCCGTTGCGAGCAGGGTGCAGCCAGAGCGCCGGATCTTGCAGGATCCTGCGGAGCCAGGGTTGCACGGGCCCGGGCTGGCGCGCAGGATCCTGCAGGATCTTGCAGGCGGCGCGGGCATGCTTAGAGGAGGAGGAGGAGGAGGAGGAGGAGGAGGAGGAGGAGGAGGAGGTGGAGGAGCTTTTCTTATCGAAGACGCCTACGGCGAATCACCGCCGCTCCCTGTCTGTTGGAATCGCCAATGTGGCCGAGCGTTGTTGCAAGAGCTCTGCCAAGCTATCGGGTCATGTGTTCCCCCAGCCCTTGTAGAAACCCTCCGGGGAAAACTTGGGGGAGGATGGCGGGGAAGATCAGGAGGAGGAGGAGGAGGAGGAGAAGGAGCATGTGGGGAGCCTCTGGGGGCACTCTTGGGGCATCCTTGGAGCTTCCTGGGAGCCTTTTGGATGTTTCATCGGGGCCTCTTTGGGGTCTTTGGGGGCTTCTCGGGGGCCTCTCTGGGCCGTCTTGGGGCCCTGTTGGGGTGCTCCAGGGCCATTGTGGAGGCCATCTTGTGCATCTTCGAGGCCTCTTGGGCCGTATTGGAGGCCTCTTGGGCCGTTCTTGGGCCCTCTTGAAAGGCCTCGTGGGCGATCTTGGGGCGACCTCTGAGGGCTTTCGGGCTCTCTCGGGCCGTCGGGGGATCGAACAGAAGCAAATGCCAAAATCCGTTTAAAGCCTTGCGAAAATCAATGATCTGGGCTTCTTCGGGCTTTCCTGGGGGCCCTCGTGGAGGCATCTGCGGCCGTCTTGGAGACCTCTTGGGGGCCTCTTGGGCTGTCGTGGCTATATTGGAGCCATCTTGGGCCGTCTTGGTGGCCTCATGGCCTGTCTGACGCCCCCAGAAGCCGTCCCGAGGGCCTCTTGGGGTGCTCCAGGGCAGTCTTGGAGGCCCTCGGGCATTTTGGAGGCCCCGTGGGCCGTCTTGGGGCTCTCTCAGGGCAGTCTCGCCTCGGAGGCCTCTTGGGCGATCTTGGGGCGACCTCTGGGAGCCCTTGGGCTGTCTCGGGCCGTCGGAGGACAGAAGAGAAGCAAATGCCAAAATCCTTCAAAAACCTTACGAAAATCAATGATTTTGGCATCTTGCAGCCTTCCTGGAGGACCTCTTGGAGGCCTCTTCGGCCGTCTTGGAGGACTCTTGGAGGCCTCTTGGGCCGTCTTGGGCGCCATCATGAGGCTATCTTAGGCCGTCTTGGATGCTTCTTGGGCCGTCTTGGAAGCATCTTGGGGCCATCTTAGCCGTCTTGGGAGCCATCTTGGAGGCCATCTTGGCGGTCTTGAAAGCCATCTTGAGCCATCTTGGGATTTGCTGCGAGAATTGAACGCGTTTCGGGTGGGTGGCGGGACGGGCCGGAGCCCCGGTGGAAAGTTCTTTTGACCCCAAAAAACAAGAGCGGTAGGGTTCAGCACGGCGGGCACCCTTGTGATGAATCAACAGGGGTCGGCAGATCTAAGACGCCTACGGCGAATCACCGCCGCCCCCCGCCTTCTAGAATTGCCCATGTGGCCGAGCGTTGTGGCAAAAGCTCTGCCAAGGTATCGGGCCATGTGTTCCCCCAACCGTTTTGGAAACCCTTCGGGGAACACTTGGGGGAGGATGGCGGGGAAGATCAGGAGGAGGAGGAGGAGGAGGAGGATGAGGAGGAGGAGGAGGAGGAGGAGGGAGCATGTGGGGAGCCTCTGGGGACACTCTTGGGGCCTCCTGGGAGCTTCCTGGGAGCCTCTTGGACCTTTGGGGGCTTCTCGGGGGCCTCTTTGGCCGTCTTGGTGGGCTCCTGGCCCGTCTGACGCCGTCGGAAGCCGTCTTGGGGGCCTCTTTGGGTCGACTTTGGGCTTTCTAGGGCTGCTCCAGGGCCGTCTTGGAGGCCATCTTAAGCGTCTTGGAGGCCTCTTGGGCCGTCTTGGGGGCCTCTTGGGACCGTCTTGGGGGCCTATTGGGCCGGTGTGGGGCCATTTTGGAGACCTCTTTGGCGATCGTTGGGGCCTCTTGGGCCGCTGGAAGGCCGTCGGAAGGCCGAAAAAATGCAAATGCCACAGTCCTTCAAAAACTCATGGGAAATCAGTGTTGTTGGCCTCTTCTGGCCTTCCTGGAGGCCATCTTGGAGGCCGTCTTGGGCCAGATTCGAGCCAACTTCGGCCATCTTGGTGGGCTCATGGTCCGTCTGACGCTGTCGGAAACCGTTTGGGGGGCCTGGGGCCCTCTTGGGGTGCTCAAGGGCCGTCTGAGAGGCCATCTTGAGCGTTTTGGATGCCTCTTGGGTCGTCTTTGTGCCCTCTTGGGGCCGCCTTGGGGGCCTCTTGGGCAGTCCTGAGGCCATCTTGGAGGCCTCTAGGACGATCTTGGAGCGACCCTGGGGGCCTCTTGGGCCGTCTGAGGCCGTCGGAAGGCCGAAAAGGCGCAAATCCCCAAATCTGTCAAAAAAACCCGAGGGAAATCAATGATTTTGGCCTCTTCGGGCCTTTCTGGAGGACCTCTTGGAGGCCTCTTGGGCCGTCTTGGAGGCCTCTTGGAGGCCTCTTGGAAGCTTCTGAGGCCGTCTTGGGCCATCTTGAAGATATCTTAGGCCGTCTTAGGTGCATCTTGGGCCGTCTTGGAGGCGTCTTGAGGCCATCTTAGCTGTCTTGGAGGCCATCTTGGCCGTCTTGGAGGCATCCTGGAGGCCATATTGGGCCATCTTGAGCGAAGAAGCCGATGAGGCATGCAGCTGGCGGGACGGGCCGAAGCCCCAGGGGGACGTAAGAACGTAAGAAATCCAGAACGTAAGAAATCGAGCACGCCAGGCACCCCAATGATGAATCAACAGGGGGCGGCGGCGGATCCAATGGCTTTCGGCCCATACTGCCACCGTGCCTGGGTTGTGGGTCATGGTGCTGGAGGATGTTTGTTGGGATGTCGCGGGGGGCCTCTTGGGGGCCGTTTTGAGGCCTCTTGGCGGCCTCTCTGGGCCTCCTGGGAGCCTCTTGGGGCGGAAGGCCCAGATGTTCGGTTCACGTTCCCCTTCCTGGACCCTTTTTGTGGTTGTCTTTGGGCCGTCTTGGGCGCCTCTGGGGCCATCTTGGAGCCCTGTTAGGCCGTCGTGGGCCCTCTTGGCGGTCTCCCGGGCCGTCTTGGGGCGGTCTTGGGGGCCTCTTGGGCCGCCTTGGAGCGTCGGAAGCTCGAACAGTCGAGGACCCCAAACACATTGAACAATTGTTGGGAAATCAATGATGCTGGGCTCCGGGCCCTCTTGGGCGGACTCTTCGGGCTCTCTTGGGGCACTGTGGTGGCCTCATGGGCCATCTTGGAGCCATCTTGGGCATCTTAGGCCGATCGTTCGGCGATCCGAGGCCCTCGTGGATCGTCTTGGGGGTCTCTTGCGGCCCTCTTCGCCCGTCATGGGGCCCTCTTAGGCCCTGAGGCCCGAGAAGTCATGCGGCGGGATGCCCCAGGCCCCCGGGGCCCGCGGTGAGCCCCAGAGGATTTGTGAATTTTGGGTCCGGGCCACTTGAATATTCTTCAGGATTGAGGACTGAGGCTCAAAGGATTAGGCCAAGTGCCCAATAACACTCCAACTCGTGCCTCGAGGACACGGTGACGGATCTGACATACCAAGAGGACCAAGACCGATCTCAGCAGAAGCAGCAGTATCGGCAGGAACAGGAAGAGGGGGGAGGAACAGACCTACACGTCCGAGCGCGCCGGAAAGGAACATGGAGAGGCAGTGAAAGCGGGAAAAGGCGAGCACGTACTACTCGACGAGACAGAAGGCAGAGCGCACGACACGACACGATAACGAGTCGGGCAAACTACCGAAGACGAAGCCAAACGACGGGGTGGGGTCCCCCTACAAAAGCGGGGAGGGTGGAGGAGGCGTTGGAGAGGGAAGCAGAGGGGCGACGAGAGATGTGGAGAGCGAGATTGTCTCGCGGCGCGGGCACGTCCGGGGAGGGCCTCGCGGAGAGGAGCTCTGCGAGCTGCGCAAGGCCTGGCGGCTGAGGTCCCCGTGGGCGGAGCACGAGCGGCTCGGCGGCCGGGGCGCGGAGGTCGGCTTCTGAGGGGCGCGGCCGCGGCGCCCGCGCCAGGGCCGCCGCTCTCCAGGCCTTCCAGAGTCCGAGGCGGGGACGTGTGCATAGCCGCCGCCTGGAGGATCCGCTTTCGGAGACCTCGGCGGGCGGTGGATATGGAGGTGGACATGGATCTATGAATATGGATGTGGATATATATATATATATATATATATATATATATATACATACATACATACATACATACAGACAGACATACATACATACATACATATATATATATGTATATTATAACCATGTCTGCACATATATTTATATATAGAGATGGATCGATTCACATTCGGGCCCCCTTGGGGCCCAAATGTATGCAGGTCCACCACCCGCTTGGGTCCCAGGACGTCGGTTCCACGGGCGGTGGATATGTACATAATCACGCTCGCACAGAGCGACGCAAAGAAACTGGGTCGTCGGCGCCGACATTGGCGCGGAAGTTGCCCGCGTAAGGTCGCGCGTAAGCGCCCTCGGCTCCAATGTGGCATGCCGCGCTGGTGGCCCGCGTAAGCTGCACCGTAAGGTCGCTGTGCCATCTCGCGTAAGGCCCGTGTCGGATCGTCGCTCCCATGAGGTCCGAGCAGACGGGGGTCGGAGGATGGCGCCGCATCACCGATGCATCGGCGATGCGGCGCGATGCCAGCGTCGACGTCGCCGACGCATCGCCGACGTCGCCGATGCATCGGCGATGAATCGACGATGCAACGCGATCCTCCGACCCCTGTCTGTTCCTCCGTCTGCTCGTCACCGCCCGCGCCCGTAGCTCAGAGACCAGACAGTCTCGCGCCGTGAATACAAAACCTCCACATGCCTCTCAACATCTCTCATTCTCCATCTCCCTCTCCACCTCTGCCTCATCCATCCTCCCCCCTCTTCCTGCTCTTGCCGATACTGCTGCTTCCGCTCAGTTCGGTTCTCGTGCTCTTGGTATGTCAGACAAGGAGACGTTTTCCACCTCCTCCAGACATGCCCGCGTCGCGACAAGGACATGACGCTTTGTTTCCTGGCCAGGTGGTCCGGGACTGGGCTGGGTCACCTGGGGACACCCGGCCAGGCGAGATTGTCCTTGATCCGGGGTGGGCAGCATCGACCACACTTCTGGTTTCTTGCCCAGTCTTGTGCCCTCCTCCTCGCCCTCCTCCTCATCCTCCGTTTCATCCTCGTCTTCCTCCCCCGCCTAGTCTATGTCCTTCACGTCGTATTGTCTCCCCCCCCTCGCCCCCCTCCCCACCCCCCTCGTCATCCTGCTCCGGCCCCCCCTCCTCCCTCCTCTCCCTCCTCGCCCCATCCTCCCCCTCCTCCATTCTCGCCCCCTCGTCATCCTGCTCTGCCTCGCCCCTGTCCCCCATCTCCTTGTTCATCCTCCTCCGCCTCTCCCTCCCCCTCTCCCTCCTTGTCATCCTCCGCCTTCCCCCCGCCCGTCGTCTTGTCCACCCCCCCTCCGCCCCCTCGCGCGGTGGCGCGGGGCCCCAGGCAGTGGCTCGCTCTGCACGCGACCGCAAACGCGGGGAGAGGCGAGCCGCCGCGAGGGGGGCAGGGGAGGAGTGCGAGAAGGAGCACTCGCGCCATGTCTGGCACCCTACCCCTCCCACTCATCCCTTCCATTGTGCTGAGTTTGCTCCCAACCATCCTGTGGAGTCGGGTCCTCGTTTTGAGAAGACAGCGCCCCGCGTCTCTTCTCCTCTCCTCTCCTCCTCCTCCTCCTCCTCCTCCTCCTCCTCCTCCTCCTCCTCCCCCTCCCCCCTCCTCCCTAGCGCCCAGTGCAGCGCTTCGTGGCCCCATAGGGAGCTCCACCGAAGGTCCCAGTGGCGCAGCGCGCATGAGCCCCCAACACCCAGCACAGCGTGGCGCAGCCCGCAGGCGTCTCCCCCACCCAGCACAGCGCTTCGCGGCACAATGGGGAGCTCCACCGAAGGTCCGAGTCTCGCAGCCCGCATGCGTCTCTTCCACCCATCACAGCGCTTCGTGGCCCCATAGGGAGCTCCACCGACGGTCCCAGTCGCGCAGTCCGCATGCGTCTCTCACACTTAGCACAGCGCTTCGTGGCCCCATAGGGAGCTCCACCGAAGGTCCCAGTGGCACAGCCCGCATGCGTCTCCCCCACCCAGTGCAGCGCTTCGTGGCCCCACAGGGAGCTCCATCGAAGGTCCCAGCGTCGCAGCCCGCATGCGCCCCCCGCACACCCCACCCAGTATAGCGCTCTGTGGCCCCGCAGGGAGCTCCACCGACGGTCCGGGGGCGCAGCCCGCATGCGCTTCCCCCAGCGAGTGCAGCACTTCGTGGCCCCACAGGGAACGCCCCCGAAGGTCCCCGTGGCGCAGCCCGCATGCGTCTCCCCCGCCCGGTACAGCGTTTCGTGGCCCTCGAAGGGGGGCTCCACCGCAGACGATTACCTACGACTGCGGTATGCAGTCCTTCGCCAGGCTAATTCTCTATGCCCGCCGGCACGTGTCATAGCGGACCTGGAGTTCCGAAAGGGACACGATCGTGAGATGCGCATTCAAGAGAAGGGGAGCTGCGCGCGTTGGAGGATCAGATTGCGGATCAGCAGGAGGATAAGCAGGAGGAAGGGGAGGAGGAGGAGGAAGGGCCCTTGGTTACAGGGGCGGCGGAGTGGTGGGTCAAGTACGCGAAGCGGCCTCCCTCCCGCGGAGCTTTGTCTTGTTGTCAGCTACTTTTCCCCCCTGATCTCGATCGCTCGGGACTTGGAGGCGGCGCACAGAGAAGAGAAAGGAGGGGGGCGAGGAGGCACAGCAGCAGGAGTGTCAGCGGTAGAAGCGACAGGAGCGGGAGCCCCCCGGGAGGATCGAGGAGGGGATAGAGCAGCGGGGCGGCAGCGACGAGGAGGTGCGCATTCGAATCCAAAAGCACAGCTGGAACGAGGGATGAGAGCAGCCCTATAGCTTTGGAGGGATGCCCTGATACTTTTTGTGCTCGGGAGATCCCCCTTGGAACGGCCTTCGCTTGGACGAGGGATCACGCATGCGGAACCAGAACTGCTGCTGGAACGAGGGGTACGAGCAACCCTAGCTTTTGAGGGATAACCTGCGTTTCTTCAGATTTTGGTTATCAACCTTTGAGCACCTCCCATTCAGAGTATCTCCTTGGAGCCTTGGGCTCTCGGCGAAGGGACTCGTGTTCTTGATGGACGGTCTTGTGTCCACGCCTCGATTGTGCGGGAAGAGCGCCAGTTTGAACGACGGGAGCAAATACGACAATACGCGGAGGGGGTCGCGCTACTACCTGGCCACCTTCGGGGTAGCGAGAAGAGTAGTATTCATATTGAGTACAAGTCGAGGGGGAAGGGACGAAGGGAGGAGGGAGGAAGGCTACGGAGGAAGGCCAGGGAGGAAGGCCAGGGGGGAGGGAGGCCAGACAGGAGAGAGGGAGGAGGCAGGAGGAGGAGGAGGAGGAGGAGGAGGAGGAGGAGGGAGGCGGATCAGGAGGGAGGGATCGTGGGCGGGCCATGGCTGGGCGACAAGGCCGACCTCCTCTCTCGCTTGGTCGCCTTCCTCCTGGTCACGTCCACCAGTCCTCCTCCTCCTCCTCCTCCTCCTCCTCCTCCTCCTCCTCCTCCGCATCCTCCTCCGCATCCTTCTCCAGACCTTTTCCAGCCTGCCTCTGCCTGCCTCTTCCGCCTCCCCTTCAACCTCATCCGAGCAGTTTCTGTGGGTGGAGGGCAAATGGTGAAATCTGAAATGCCGTTTCGATCAATTTTCGAGGGAATCTGCAACAGGTGAATTACACGACGGATTGATTTTCGAGGTGCAGGAGCCCATGTGGATTTCACCCTGTTCCCTCCACGCTACGAAAATGCTCAGCTCACTCCTCCACAACCTCGAGTCTTGCACGCTCCCGGCGCTGGAGCCCTCTCAAAGCTGCCGGCAGGTGCAAGGCATACATGCAGCCGCTTCCTGCATGCACTGAGGCACAAGTGGAACCGCATAACAAACAAGGGCCGAACGCGACGCAAGTAGGAAAGACTGGTCTACTCTGCAAGAACGGTTTTTTGAAGGCAGATCTGCCTTTACCTGCAAGGAGGAAAGACTGGTCTACTCTGTAAGAACGGTTTTTTGAAGGCAGATCTGCCTTCAAAAAGAACGGTTTTTTGAAGGCAGATCTGCCTTCAACAAATTCTGTAAGAACGGTTTTTTGAAGCGGTTTTTTGAAGGCAGATCTGCCTTCAAAAAACCGTTCTTACAGAGTAGACCTATTTTTTGAAGGCAGATCTGCCTTCAAAAAACCGTTCTTACAGAGTAGACCAGTCTTTCTTCCTTGCAGGTAGAGTCTCCTGATCATCGTGCTGCTCCTGCTGCCCCTGCTGCTCATGCTGTTCCCTGCGCGGCACGAGGAAGTGCGCACGCACGCCCATCCTGGCAGGGCCCATCCTGGGGCCAGGGTCGGTGTGCATCGGAGGCGACGATCGGGGCGAATAGCCCAGGGGGGAGCGCTGATCGGAGCGATACATGTATCCAGGGGCGACGATCGGGGCGATACATGTATCCAGGGGCGCTGATCGGAGGCGACGATCGGGGCGATACATGTATCCAGGGGCCAGGATCGGTGTGCATCGGAGGCGACGATAAGGGGCGAACAGCCCAGGGGGGAGCGATACGGTAGGTTCGCGTCGTGTCGACCGGCGGCGACCCCGCCGCCGACGTTCAACGTTGAACGCCGACGGCGGCCCAGAATCGGTCGATGTTGAACGATCGGACGTTGCGGAGACGGCCGATCGTTCAAGGCTGAACGATCCAGCGCGGTGTGAGGAACCAACGCCAGGGTCGACACGGCACGGACCTGCAGTACATGTATCCAGGGGCGCTGATGACCCCTGTCTTCGGCGAGGCTCCCGGGCGAACACGTGTAATGCCCGCCCCTGGGCTATTCGCCCCTGTCGTCGCCGCCCTGGCAGGGCCCATCCTGGGGCCAGGATCGGTGTGTATCGGAGGCGACGATAAGGGGCGAATAGCCCAGGGGGGAGCGATACATGTATCCAGGGGCGCTGATGACCCCTGTCTTCGGCGAGGCTCCCGGGCGAATGCGTGCAATGCCCGCCCCTGGGGCTATTCGCCCCTCTCGTCGCCGCCGAGCAATATGCCTCCCTGGCCGAGCCGGGAGGGCGTGTGCACCGACCCCGGGCCTCGGCGGGTCCAAGGCCGGGTGCAGCGCACGTGCACCTTTCTCTTTTTCCTCCGTCTCCCTTGCCGCCCTCCGCAAGACGAAGTCCAACGTCGTTTCACCGGCCGCGCTGCCCCTGTGGATCTGCTTGTCGGCCGTCTCCGGGCCCCCGGGATTCGTGATGGTCTTGTTGCTCCTGTTCCTCCACCCCTGAGATGGCGGCCCTTCGCTTCGGGCCCACTCGTGTGGAGTTCTCGTTTGGTCCCCTCGCCCGGCCATCATCGGGCCCCGCGTGCTCTGCGTTGCGATCGTTCGTTCGGCCCTCCTCGGCCCTTCGCTCGGTCGTTTGTCCTTCTTTGCTGATCGTTGTTATTGTTTTGGCTGGCATGCCTTTGTTGAGACAGGCCAGACCTTAGTTCTTAGCCCTCGTCCTGGGGTCGTCGTTGTTCGCGTGGCAGTGGGCGAAAACCATTCGCGTAGTCGTACCGCGCGGAGCGCGAAGGAGGAGATGGACGAGGGGGACGAGGAGGAAGAGGACAAAGATGAGGGTGAGGATGAGGTAGAGCAGTGGCAGAGGAGGCGAAGCAGCACCCGGTGGAGGACGATAAAGGAGGCGTGGGGGTGGGGGTGGGGGGGGGGGGGGGCATTTCGGCAGGGATCGGGAGGGAGAGCTGGAGGGCTATCGGGACGCCAATGATCCAGCCGCCTGCAGCAAGCCCTGCCGACAGGTCAGCAGCGCGGCATTCCGTGCTGCGACGACTCGAGCACCGAAGGCCGTAGCATGTGGCACTTCTCGCTTCTATTCCTTGAGGGGTCCTCGTGGGGGGTTGCCTGGACTGTCTTGGGGCTGTCTCGGATTTGGGGGACTTGGGGCCTCTTGGAACCCCCTTGGGGCCATATAGAGGCCCTCTTTGGCTGCCCTGGGCTCCTCTTGAGCCGTCTTGGGGCCGTCTTGGGGCTGTTCTGGGGCATCTGGAAGGCTTCGGGAGGCCTTCGCTGTGCTATTTTGCCTCTCTTTGGCTCCTCTGGGTCCCATCTGGGAGCCATATTTCTCAGAGACACAGGCAACAACACTAGAGGAGATCCAGGGGGTCCCTTCGGCCTTTGAGTGGCATTGGTTTTCCTCGAGGGCCTCCGGGCCTCCGCGCTGATGTCCTGGAGGCCTCTCGGGTCCCACGCGGCGCCTCCGAGGGTGCTCTCTGGAGCGGTCGGGCGCCTCCTGCGGAAATTTTCGGCCACCTCGGTGGCCTCGTGGCCTTGCTGGGCCGTCTCGGAAGCCTCGGAGGCCCTCTGAGAGGAGAGCGCCAGACAGTGCCAGGCCGCCGGCCGCCCGGGGGAGCCTCGGAAGGACTTGGCATCGCTCGGACGTGCACTGTGCACTTTCTCCCGGCGAGAACCATCGAGGACCACCCTGGGCCACCGAGCAAAAAAGAACCACGCACGAAACCGAAATATGCACGGGAAATGGACGTCCGAGCGACGGCAAGAAGAGTGTGGGGGTCCTGCAGGACAGCGTGCGGAGAGGGGAGGGGCGGGGGAGCCCATTGAGAGCCTTGCGGAGACCCCTGCCTCAGCGTGCCGCTGGGGCGCGGACTGGCGGCCTTCGCGCGCGAGCTGCCTCGCAGGCGGCGAGGGGCCCCAGAAGAAGAAAAAGTTCCCCGCGCGCCTCCACGCCGGCTGGCTGGCCCAGACGCTGCGGCCGAAGGCGCCACCCTGGGGAGGAAGACGACAGCGGGTGCTGGATGGCGATTGACGCCATTAGGGAAACAAGAAGTGGCATAAACAGAAGAACTCAACGGTTCGCGCGTCTCGGATCGGCGCTGGACCCCCCTCCCTGGCGCGCGGAGCGCGCCAGGGGCGGCGCTGGAGGCGCCGCCGGGGGGCCCCAGCGCCGATCCGAGAAATCCGCGCGGACCTCCGAGTTCTTATGTTTATGCCACTTTTTCCCGGGAAGCGCTCGGGCCCAGGGTTCTCTTTTAGAGATTTACCACCGGGTCTGACGGGAAGAGGGCCGGCGGATTTCTTTTGCGATAAATAACGAGTGGGAAGAGGGCCGGCGAATTAAAATTTGAGGATGTCCCAAGCGAAACGCTTGTTTGTTTAAGAATGTTGAGGATGTCTCGAGCGAAACGCTTGTTTTGTGTTATAGATTGTCCTCAACTGGGGACCAGAATTTAGAGGATCTCTCAAGTGAAATGCTTGGTTTCACGTGCCCAGGTCTTGAGGATGTCTCGAGCGAGACGCTTGGTTTCACGCCTCCAGGTTGCCCAGGCAGAGGTTAAGCGCCAGGATTTGGTGAGGATGTCTCGAGCGAGACGCTTGGTTTCACGCGTCCTCGTCGCCCAGGCGGATGTCTAGAATGAGGAGGTGTTGAGGAAGTCTCGATCGAGATGCTTGTTTGCACGTGTCCAGGTCGCCCAGGCGGATGCCTAGCATGAGGATGTGTTGAGAATGTCTCGAGAGATACGCTTGTTTTCACGTGTCCAGGTCGCCCAGGCGGATGTCTAACATGAAGATGTGTTGAGGATGTCTCGAGCGAGACGTTTGCTTTCACGTGTACAGGTCGCCAAGGCGGATGTCTAGAATGAGGAGGTGTTGAAAACGTCTCGAGCGAAACGCTTGTTTTCACGTGCCCAGGTCACCCAGGCGGACGTCTCACATGAAGATGTGTTGAGGATGTCTCGAGCGAACTACTTATGAAATATCCCAGGCGGATGTCTAGCATGAGATTGTGTTGAGGATGTGTCGAGCGAAACGCTTGTTTTTCACGTGTCCAGGTCGCCCAGGCGTATGTCTAGAATGAGGATTTTGAGAGGATGTCTCGAGCGAAACGCTTGTCCCCAGCACGTTCCGTAGCGCGTCCCCTTGGCACGTCCTACGGTGCGACCCCATGGCACGTCCCCTGGCACGTCGCCTGGCGCGTCCCTTGGGACGTTTCGCGGCGCGTCCTCCTGGCATGTCCCCTTGTCAATTAGCTCTGGGGCAGCTTCTATGTGTTCAGGCAGCTCGAGCTTAAGATCCAGATCAGTTCGGTCAGGACTCGGATGCAAAGGAAGACTCGATCCACGACGCTCTAGAGCACAACCGCGGCATGGCACATCGCAATTCAGCACGGTGCAGCACAGCACAGTCCTCGGCACGGTACATCAAGATCGATACAATCAGCATTGCACTTGCCCGTCACCCAATCAGGTGTCTTTGAAAACGTTGCCATGCGTTACATTCTATATTCCTTTCCGGGTTCGTGGGTCGATCATGTTGTTCCCGCGACGGCAAGGCGAGTGGCAGTGCCGACCATGGTGGCGGCACAGGGTGCACGTCCGCAAGACAAGAAGACGGCGTCCAAGCAATCCAGGAATGCCCAGGGGGAAGCAGCGCCCCGCTGGGATCGTCGTCGTCGTCGAAGCAACGCGTGGACGATGAAAAAGAGAGACTCTGGGTGCGTCGTCGTCGTCGTCGCCGTCGAGGCCGCCAGGCCGCATGCTGCGTAGTCCTTTCGATGCGTTGTCTATCCTTTAATCGCTTCGCTCGTTCCGCCGGCCCACACTGTATCACCGCACCGCTGTCGTTTGTCTAGGTGTGCTATCTTGGGCGTCTTGGAGCGAGATCGAGCGACGCATGCTGTATGACTGGTGCTAGATGTTGGTGTACTGGAGCGATTGGTGGTATTTCTCGGGCCTCTCGGGGGCCTCTTGGGAGCCTCCTTGGGCCTCCTGGGGGCCTCTCGGGGCCGAGGGCTCGACGTATCCGTTCGGGCCCTCGTCTGGACCCTCTCTTGGAGCCGTTTTTGGGGGTCTCTTGGGCCGTCTTGGAGGTCCCTGGGGTCGTCTCGAGGCCCTCTTGGGGGCCTCTTGGGCCGTGCAGGGTCGATCTTGCGGGCCTCTTGGGCATGCTGGACGTTGCGACATCCCAAGTGGCGAGTAGACCCTGCAAAAAAAACGTTTATACCTAAGGGAACGTGACGATGCCTGCTTCTTGGCTCCGTCTTGTCTTGAGACGCCTCTAGGGGACCTCTCGGGGCGTCTGGATGGCCTCCTGGGCCGTCTGGAGGCCATCTTGGGCATCTTGGAGCGATCTTTCGGCGTCCGGTGGCTCTCCTGGACCGTGCGGAGGGCCCCCGAGGCCTCTCCCGGGCCGATCCGGAGCTCTCTCGGGCTCCGGAAAAGGAGTTCCGGCAGCCGTGACGGGGACCGGCCGGGGTCCGTGCGGGGTACTTGTCTTAAGTCGGGCGTGTCCCCCTACAGGTGGATGTTCAACGAAAATTTAAAAAATACCCCCAAAGCATTCAAACAAGATTCAGAAATCGTCCCCAGGGTATTTTTTCATGTTTTTGAATTCTCCCCCTGTAGAGGGACAGGCCTGACTTAATACTTGCCGTCCGCGGACCCCCAGGGGCTGCCCCTCGCCCGCGAGCTAGAAAGGTTGTTCGCATTCGTCAAGCCCTGCGCAGCGCCCACAAGAGCAAGAGCGCAGCCGAGCACAGGAGGGCGTGCAGGCAGCTTCGGAGCTCGGACGTGCAGAGGCAAGGTGCGGAGGACGCTGCAAAGCCTTGTAGGAGGAGGGCAAAGCATTTCGGCCACGGGCAAGGGGGGGTGGGGGGAGGGGGGAGGGCTTCCTAGAAGCACCCCTGCTTCTTAGAAGCCCTCCCACCTCCCTCCCCCCCCTTGTGCGCACCGCCAGGCACTGACAGCGCGAGCACCAAATCTGCAAGTGGCCCGGGGACACCCCGCGCCATGCCCGGTTACCGGAGATCTCGGCACGCTTCTGGCCCGTGGGGCCGGCGAGTCTGGCCGCATCACGCCAGGTCGCCCCGAGGGCCGCGAAGATGCTCCCGCTTCGCGCGCCGGGGCTTCTCCATGGTAGCCTCGCTGGGGCGCGAAGACGACCGCGCATCGCGAGGCGCACCGCGCGAAGTTTGGAGGCGGCCGAGCTACATTACAGCCAAGGCGCGAAAAGAGGGATCACTGTTCGAGTAGGGGATCGATTAGAGAAGTGACTTACCACACAATCTGTATGTCTCGTCGAATCAACGGGAAACGTAGAATGTTCGTAGACCTACGAGCATTCCACGCATGTTCCTTAGATTCGACGAGAACATCAAGTTTGGGGTACATCGATTTGGTGGTTTATCCCCTACTCGAACTTTGGGCTCAAGAGGGTGATTTCCAGGTGGCACTGCACGTACAGCCACCAAGCCCTCCGGCCCTTCGCTCCTTGTGTCCTCCTCCCTCTTGCCCTCCTCGCCTTCTCCCGTCACCCTTGTCGTCGCCTCAGCATAGGCGGCTGCGTGTCTTCCTCCCTCTTGTCCTCCTCGTCCTCCCCCCGCCTGTCGCGTCGTCTCCTTCTCCCCTGGATATCCTTCCTCCTCTACGTAAACGGTCGCGAAAATTATGTCGCCTTCGCGTAGGCGGCTGCTGCGTGGCCTCCTTCCTCTTGTCTTTCTCGCTCTTCTCCCGTCGGTCGCGTCGTCCTCCTCTCCCCCAGCTGTTTTTGCCCTAGCGGGCACGAGCAATATCCGCCTTAACGTAGGCGACGGCGGCCCTCAGGACCCGTAGATTCAGGTCAGGGGGCCCGTTGGTGGCCGAGGCTCGCAGGGGCTAGGGAAGCCCCTCGGTCTCTAGTTCGGCGGTCCTTTGGCAGCACGATGGCTGCAGAGCCCACGTGAGGGGGGCGCGGGGAGCTGGGAGCTGGTCGAGGAATGCTCTGCCCGTTCTCGCGCGTCTTGCCCGCACGGGTGCTTCTGCAGCTCCAGATGCCGGAGCAGTGGCCATACGGTTCCCCGACTTGCAAGGCTCCCGCCCCAGGGAGGTGGGTCACGGCTGGAGGGGCGTCCAGAAAATCATAGGTTGTTCCTCTCCCGCCGGGATATTTGGACGCGTTTAGTGCTCTTTCTCCTCCCTCACTTCCTCCTTCCATCCTCCTTCCATCCTCCTTCTTCGCTTCGGCCTGCACAAGCATGGTCGAGTCGCCTTCCCATCGGTTGGGAAGCTGGCAGTTTCTTATCGCGGGTATCGCGGGGTTCTTCCCGGAAAGGGCGCCGACGCAGGGTTTTTTGTCAGTTGGTAAACTTGTCCCCGATGCCATGTTGGTGTAGGGCCGGTGGAGTGATTCCCTGATCAATGTGAAGGTCGGGAAGGGCCGGCAGAATTATGTTTGAGGATGTACCGAGCGAAACGCTGGTTTTTGGAATTCCGATCGAGAAAACACCATGGTAAAGTAAACCTTTTCGTCTGTCGCGGATGTATGTCTCGAGCGAAACGCTTGTTTTGCGCAGAATGTGTTGAGGATGTCTCGAGGGAAACGCTTGTTTTGTGTTATTGTTTGTTCTCCCCCTGGGGACCACAATTCAGAGGATGTCTCAGGTGAAATTCTTGACGCTTCGCGTATCCCCACCACCCCAGTGGCGTTTCCCCCCCACCAGGCAGGCGCCCTTCGGCTACCTCACGCATAGGGTGCGCTCTCCAGGCGCTGGCAGGTCGGCCCACACCGGCTTCCTGTACCTGGGGCGCAGTCTGACAGGTACGTGCTCGCCGGTCTGGCGCCCCCTCTGTCGCCCACCGGCAGTACACTGCCGACGGACTGACGATCGTGACCGGCCCACGTGTCGTCCCCCCTTGCGCTTGGTATCTACTCGACTGGGCGACCGGTCCGCTGGCGCCTGGTTGCGATGCCAGCATCGTGCACATGAGGTGCTCCGTGAGTGTG